AAAGCCAATATAAGTATATTAGTAAGTGTTTTCTTTCAAATTATAAGGAATACTATCAACAAATTAAGTATATAACATGTGTGCTTAAAGTCATTTAAAATTTACAACAATAATAAAATAATATATCTAATATAATTTCACAAGTAGAACTGAGAAGAGTAGTGTCTAGTTTTACCCCTACCAAATAGTGGTCACAATTTGTAATGATAAGCTTGAAGAAATTTCACGAGTAGCTTGTGTCACATATACTTACTTTTTTATTTAAAAAATCATATATATTCACTTCAGATTTTTGGGTGTGTTTGAAGTTAGGTTGACAAAATCAAATTTCAGATAAAATGTTTAAAATTCCATGAGTGACATTCATGTATTTCTACCTAAAGTTTAGGAATAAAGGATTGAACTTCAATCAATTTTTACTTAAACTCTAACTATATATGATAGAAGTTGTCTGAAGCGGGATGCACATGCAAAAAATTTAAGTAAAAATTAGGCAAATGACATAGTATAAGAAAGAAATTACTTCCTTTCCCTATTTTTTCATTAATTACCAAAAATCCCTCTTTTTAGTGTTTTTCGGATACATAATATAGCAGTGTGGATACTTAATATAGCAGCGCGGATACTTTAATTAATAACGGGCGGATACTTAAATTATTAAGTTGTTAGCAGCACGGATACTTAATTAACGGGCGGATGCATAATATAGCAGCGCGGATACTTTAATTAATAACGGGCGGATACTTAAACTAATAAAGTATCCGTTAAGTTGAATTGGGGAAAAATAAGGGATTTTTGTATTTTAGTAAAAGAGTAGGGACATATTGAGAATAGGTAAAGAAGTGTTGTGTATTTAAGTAATTTTTCCAAAATTTAAATAGAGGACACAAGTTAAATGGCAACGTCAAAATCGGACTTAATTCACTGCTCACCACCAAAGCCCAAGTCCATCTTTCTAAAGAATGATGGATCCAGCCCATATTAACTTGGGCTTGAAAGTTGAAACAAGCAAACAAAGTCCATAAGCTAATCAAACTTAAAGGAAAATTGCACTTTTAGTCACTTGATTTTAAAGGTATGTATATTATTCTTCTGTAAAGCTAGTGATAAATGTCATTATCCACCACATACATTGTCAAGTCAAACAAATTCATAGTTCTGATTAAGATGTCTTATGTAATATTATGATTTTTTTTGTATTTATATATATTATTTAAATTCATAAATTTTAATAGTCTGCTTTTTTTTTTGAACTCCAAAATAATTCGCAGTTGCTATAACCTCTGCCACTGCTTCTGTCATTCGGCTGAGCGAGCACTCTCTGGTGAGTACATTGTGTGCACTGGATAAATCTTCTTTGTGTAATAGCATGCAAACCACATAGAGAATGTAAGCCACATTAGGCAATTCTTATGAGACAGACTCGACTCAGAAGGGATTAAGGGGAGATTGATCCTGACTCATCCGTGTGGATGACCACCCTCCAAACCAACTGAACCTATCCGTCAAGAAATTACACTTATAAAGTAAAAAAAAAAATTATGTGTATATAATGTTGAATGCCTCTAGCAAAAAATCTACCTTTTAACACTATCTATTGATGTATGACATTTTGGCTCCCTTTTCTTGGACAAAATTAATACAAGATAAAGAAAAATTGAACATAAATTGTTGGTACTTTATATACCACAAATGAGGGGGCAAAAAATGGTTTTGACCCATTCCTTCTTTAACAAAAGTAAAAGGTAATCTTCTAGGTATTTTTTTTGTCTAGGAAGAAAAATATTTTCTATTTTTGTTGTCCAAAAAGTGAAATTTAATATACTTATGAAATAAAATAAAAAAAATAGTCCACTTTCTCCTGATAACAAGGATGTGCATGTGTAAGAGATCCAAGGTTGCTTCTCTCCCATAATTTTCTCAACTTGTCTACAAAAAAATCTTATTTTATTTAGCACCAAACACAATAACTCTCCCCATTGTATGATCCAAGAAAAAATATATTTACAATATTTCCATAAGGTCTTCAATAAAGGCGGAGTCAAGATTTTATCAAGGGAGTTCAAGTTATAAAGAAGTCAACACACGAACTAGATAACGAGAATTAAACATTTATTATATATACATAAATAGTAAAAAAATTCGTCGAAGGAGGTATGGATGAATCCCTGACTGCTAGATGGCTCCGCCCCTAGCCTCCAATGGGATCGTGTCTTTAAAATGATTTGTTTTTAAAAAAAATATCGTATTCAAAAATAAATATTTAATACATAAATTTAAATTAATCGAATCTCAATATAAATATCGAGAATCCTGAGAAAAAAAGTTAAAAGGAGAGAAGAGGAGACAGTGTAATAAATTCTTGAACACTTCTAAATTGTTGTTGTTAGTAATTAATTGGTGGCAGATTCTTCAATTTCCTTTGACTAACATTACTTTTGGTAAGGAATTAACAGTAAAATGTCACTGATTTTTTCTCTGTAAATTTCTTAAAATGGAAAGTTTTAAAGTACTTTCCCAGTTTTATTTTATTTAGTTTATATTGATTTGACATTCCTCTAAAGAAAAAATATTTATTAGGAGTTTATTTCACTAAATGAATTTTTATTAATTATATTTTTTCTAATAAATTAAAGGTCTAAAACGAAGGAGTATTATTTATCTCTAAATTTTACGATTTTTGTAAAGACATAATCTCATATGGTAATGTTTTATTTATACAAAATACACTTTATTTTTTTCTCATTTAAATATAACATATCACCTAATAATTCTTTATTTATCAAAACTATCAGGTTAAACTGAAACAAAACGTTAAATATTTAAAAATAAATTTATTGTAATTAATAAATTTAATTTGTCAAAATAATTAATATTTGTGACGGCAGAGAGTAATAATAGTCATGACCCCATTATATTTAAATATAAATAGTACTATTGTATATAGTACCAGGCACATAGCTCTTTACCATTGTCTGATCCAAGAATAAATATTGTATTACATTTTTACACTAAGATCAGAATGTGATGAATATAACATAAAGGTAGATTGTACACCATCAAAAATAATTTTTAGCGATAATTTATTAATTATAATTTAATTATTATTAAATATATATTTTTAAAAGTAATTAGCATTCTTTATAAATGTTCATAAATTCTAAAGCGATATTAATATTGATAAAGATTTTAATCTTATTTATTAATATATATGTTTATTACCGCTAAAAATTATTTTTATTATGAGGTGATGGGTCAACTATGTAGAGAGATGAAGAGACAAATCATTAAATTCTTTAACTTTTCAATGCCTGCTTTAATTTCTTGAAATAGTAACAATAAAAGGAGGATAAGGATTCGATCGTTTGTCTGAAAAAATCTAATGAATAAATATATTAAAATCTTCTTTTTTTTTTGTGAATAAATGTGTGTTTGCATTTATTGTGTTTTAACTTATTTTATTTATACTAAGTTATTAGTGAATGGAGTAAAAAATATAATAAGAATAAGTCCACTAGAGTCATAGGAATATCATTTAATTGAATGTGTACTTGACAATTTCACCATAGTTTTAAGTGTGTTTGAATGCCTTATATATCTCAATATATAATACTCCTTTTGAATTTCGATATTTAAGTGAATTTTTTTAATTATAATTTTTTAGTGTGTTTGAATGCCTTAGATATCTCAATATATAATATTCCTTTTGAATTTTGATATTTAAACAAGTTTTTAAATATATTTTTAAATATTTTTAATTATGTATCAATTGTTGTGACTTATAGCATTTTTTACGTAGTTTTCAAATATGTAAATTTTATTTCAAAAAAATTTAAACATTTCATGTCTAAATTCACTAAAATTAAACTATTTTTCTCTTCTCCAAAGGTCAAGGGAGACACTGCATCCTTTTCCTTCGGTAGCTTTTTTGGTTTTTCAAAAATAGCGATAATTGGGGCGAAAACCCGCTTTCTTCGCTGCGAATGAGAGAGAAAGTTGCGAGATCCGAAAGTTGAAAATGCCTAGAACCCAAAACCAAAATGACCCCCTAATTTTTCTCGATTGTGAACACATTAAATTTACTTTCAAAATCTGAATTATAACACATAAATTGAGATAAAAAAGACTAACCTAACATATTAAATTGTAATATTGATAATGTAGAAATTGAGACAAAAAAAAAAAAACTAACCTAACATATTAGATTATAATATTGATAATGTAGAAAAAAAGTCATGATGGTATTATTAGTGTGTATGTATAGGGAGAGCTTGAAATTTTCCATTGAATTTTCATGGTCAAATTTTTTTCCCCCCATGCTCGATATTCACATATTGAAGTTTGATTAAATCTAAATTTACGTCAGAAAGTTCCATATTGAAGGATAAATTGTTCCCTAACAAAGACGATCATGTACCCATGGGAAATTCGAACCCGAAACTTCAAATTAAGGATAAAGGAGTATTTATCACTCTACCACAACCCACGTTGGTTCATGGTCAAAAATTTTAAGTAGAAAACATCAACTTCATAATTGTTTGGTTATTAGTAGAGTACTATTATAAGATATGACGAATAATGTAGTGATCCCATGAATATTTAAAGTAGTACACCATACTGCAAACAATTATACAATTCCAGCCCATTAAAGGGCCATTCATTCAATCACAGACGGACACAAATTATTTGATTATTATGGCAATGTACTAAAGGACCAAAAATAAAAACAAATATATTATTGGTGCTATGAATGCAAAAAAACCCATCAACAATGCACATGGCTTTGTTCCCTTAGGGGACATAGACTTTGTCATAAATAATAATTCAATGACATAAATATTCATAAAACATACAAATGGATCAATAAACAAATTTTAAAAATTGAAATACAAGATACATAGAATCTTGTTAATTGAAAAAACAAATAATAACAACAACCACAAAGAAGGGATAATTATTTAATCAAACCATTAATTTAATTAAGTAATAAGCAAGCCAGACACAATAGAGGGTTTTAAGTTTATTGCATCATGTTCATTACAAATATTGTCCAAATTAAAGATCACTTCTTTAATTAACTATATACTAATTAAAATTAAAATACAAGCACATGAAAACAACAATATATTAATCTCACAAAACCTTCAACTTCAAACATTATCTATGGAGTTTTTGCACACCATCAATTGGCTTAGATCCTGCTCTTGCATTTCTCCATAGCTCTTGGTGCTGAAATTAAAAGAAAAAAATTAGTTACAATTTTGTTATAATAAATAAATTTAAATTGTTAACTTGCTTGAAACTCAAAATAAATAGAAATTAAAAAGGGGGAAAATTACCAAGTCCAATAGCTTCTGATCCTTTCATTATGCGTAAACGCTTGCATGAGTCAACAAACATCCTATAGGAGATTCAAAAAATAAAGAAGTCAGTCTCATCGTATTTAGTACGATGTAAAATCATTTCAAATTCTTTCCCTCCTATATGAACATAAGTTAATTTTCTTACAACTATATTATTCACTAACATTATTGTTAATCATATTGACGTTTTTTTATTCATCAATCAAACATTAAAATTATTTTTACGTAAAATCATTTTCGTCAAGCCAAACAAATTAAAACTTAATTTTTTTTAATTGAATAATGGAAAAAAAAATGTTGATAATTAAAAAACTTACTCCCAAGGTACATCTCCAACAAGCATCCAATCTCCATCTTTATCTTCATAGGTTGGCACATATTCAGAACTATTGAGGAGATCCATCAATTTGCTCTCATTCATAAAATCTATCATTCCTTGGGACCCATAATTTCCTGTATTAATTATAATTAAATACAAGTGGATATTAATTAATTAATTAAATAAATAAAAATATTTTTTTATAGAATAATCACACACTAACATTTATTACAATATGTAAATCATAAAAGCTAGGCTGTATCAACCACTAATGAGCATGGTTCTAAGATATTAACTGTTTTTTCTTGTCATGTTTTACAAGATTTTATTCTCATAAAAAAAATTAATTAAACTTATAGAGGTCTAGCAAGTGGACATCCACAAAAGAATATAATCTGCCTGTTCTTTCTCTATTTTAATCCCTAATCACAAAAATATAGTAACAATTAGTTATCTTGAAAATCTTAATATCTAATTATATCTATACACATGCTATTAGTTGTAGAATAAAGTTGTTTTCACCTAATAATTTCAAGATTGATTATTCTTTAAGGAGTATAACTTCTCAACACTAACAACATATTACCTAAAATAACAAGTTTATTTCTCATACAGTCACTTAACTAATAGCTAAGTGATCTTATTTTGTTAACATAAAACTCAATGGTGAAATAAGAATTACTACTAAAAAAATTCAAGATATACAAAAAATAACTACATGAACAATCCAACATGCACAAATCACAATATAATTAATTTTCCGATAAAGAGGGTGTCAATTGAATCTCCTTCGATAAATATAATTTGTGACTACCTCCACCATCGATAAAACTAATTTAAATACAAGATGGAATATTTTTTTTATACTGTCAGCATATATACGATACTTACCATTAGTAAAGGAGCTAAACATCTTAGCCAAAGCATCAGAAAGTTCTTGGTAACTTTTGTACATTTTCAAATCAACCTTACGTAGGTAAGGTGCACCATCCATGCAAACTTTGACAAATGCAACAGTAGTCTTCTCACTTTCTTCAGTGTTGCTCTTTTGAGCCATTACATTCTTCCTAAATGATCTCACTGGTGGCCAACCCACAACTTGTGCTCTACCAAATAAAAAAAAAGGAGCCAGAAATTTTATTAAAGGGTGTCACAATAAGCAGACACACACATGAATCAATTATATATGGTGCGTCTATATACGTAAACTAGCTAAATAGTGTAATTTTCTGGCGAAGAGGTGTCATTTAACACCCCTATATGTAATCTTTTTAAAAATAATTAATTTAAAATTATTATATTAAATTTATGTTAATTTTAGTCAAAAGCTAGTCATAGTAACATGACAAAAATAAACACTACTGTATACAGTCATGTAGGTCAAACAATTTTCTTGTATCTTTGAGAAAGATGGATTTAATTTTCTATATATAGATAATAGACACCATAAAATATGGAAGAAAAAAAAAACTCTAAATCTTAAGTATATAATATTTCTTTTGAGTATATTAAACTCTCTCTAGTCAAGATTTATGACAATAATATCATAATATTGTGGAGCTAAAGACCTATAGTTGAGCAATTGTAGTACCGACAATATATGTTAATCGGACTTATTGTGTCGTATACTTCAAAAAATATGCATTTCTGAAGGATCTGACACGAACACAACAATTTTGAAAGCTCCAAATGACAAAAGGTGAAAATTAAAGAGCAACACAAAAATGTCTTTTTGGATATCCTTCAATGTTTTGAATATTCTTGAAACAACTAAAAATCACTTGTATTTGTGAAAATCGAAAACAAGCTCTCTATCTTTATAAGATAGTGCTTATAAGACTACATATACATCACTCTCTTCTGACTACACTCATGTGAGATTATACTGAGTATGGTACTATTATTGCTGAAAGAAACCAAAAAGATGAAAGAGAGGAGTTTGATATTATTTAAGCAGCTAAGAGTAAAGAGGCATGTCAATTATTCATCGAATTTTGAACTGTACACCACTAACTATTAGAGAGAGACTTACTTGGCAGGTGGCTTGATTGGATCTTTGTTACAAACAACTTCTTTAGTAGTAGTAACACTATTCTTCATCTTATTATTCTCCATAGCACAAGAAATATCATCATTAGCTTGATGAAAATTGAGCTTCAAATCAACAGTCTCAGAAAACCCTCTTTTCCCATTAATCTTATTATTATTATTATTATCGCGAATTAATTCACCTCCTCCGCCACCACCACCACCAGGTAGTCCCAAACACAACTCAGTTTCTTTCAAATCCATCAAAAATCAAACTCTTTTTTCTTCAATATGTAGTAGTAGTACTATGCAAATATTAAAAAGAGAGAGAAGGGGAAAAAAATATTGAGAGAGAAAATGCAAAAATAATATAAGTAATAGTAACAAATGTTTAAGGGGGAACAAAGTATATGGCTTCATGTGCATATATACCCAATGGTTTCATTTTAGCTATCAACTTCTGATGAATCACTATACGACACGTGGCGATACATGGTATGTTGATCACCTAGGGATCAAAAAGCATGTTACTAAAATAATTTAATCTTTTTTATAAAAAAAAATTGTGGGGGATACGTAAAAATTTTATATTATGATACCCTAATGATTTGTCTATATCATATTTTATTTTTTTAGGGTGGGGTGGGGTGGGGTTTAAGTTATTTCAAGTGGATGGTGTTATTTTATTTCTTTTTAAAAATAATTGGGTAAGGAAAAAAAAGACTTGGATGGGGAATGCCATGATTAAGGTAACAAATGGGAAATTGAATAGTGGTCCAATAAAGAGCTATGATCAATCATATTTCTCTATATAACAAAAATAATAATATTGCAAAGATTAATTATAATGTAATGTATTTTCTATATCAAATATATTTGATAAGTTTCATAAATTCATGTAAAACTTGACTTGTTATGTATTGTCACTTTGCAATGACTCTATCCATGTGTTTTCATGTGTGTTCGTTTTCTTTTTATTTAATTTTTTTTGGCATTGTAATCATTAATAATGTACTCAAATTAAGATAAATTTTAATTTTTTTCTCAATTATACCCTTATTGTAACATTAATAATCATGAATGATTGATGGCTAGGGAAAGCCTAATTATTTTTTCAAAAAAGGTTTTTATTTTATATAAATAAATGATGTTATATTTAGGGGGAAAAGTAGGAGTACTAACTACTAATTATTCAATAACAAATGGGATTGATAATTGAATAGTGGTCCTATAAAGGACCATAATTGATAACTTCTTGATATATATAATATAGTCACCAAGCTATATTGTGAGATAGATTGTAGTTTATTTATCAATAAGTATAATGATTGTTAAATTAATTCAAGTAAAAATTGACTTATTATGTATTGGTTACATCCGGATAGTGGTTCCTATTCAGTCAAGATAAGCTTCTCAGAAATCGTTTCTATTTGACAGTTTCTCCAAAAATAGCTTGATAAAATCTTTCTTAGTTCTTTATTTATTGCTTTTAGAATTTCTGTTTTATCTAAAATCACGTTGAGACCCTCGAATCTCCACCAACACTATCTCAACAAGTTATAAATAGTATAATCAACATGGTAAATATACTTTTAATCTTCATTTGGATGCAAATTCTAAAAATGAAGGACAATGTAGTTACACAATGAATTATGTAGAGTCACTCACTTTCACACTTAATAGTGTAATGTTATTATTGAAGATTTTGATAGAGTAATAAGTTTTCTATCTTGATTAAAGTTTTATATTAGAAACTCTGGAAATGAAATCGTCGATTTTGCAAAAAAAACACTTTATTCTTTAGAAAGAATTTTCTCAATACAAACTTAAATTAGTCAAATTCTAAAATAAATACCGAAACACTTCATAAGAGAAAAACTATTACCTTGTTTACCTATTTACACATCATAATGTAGAAAGTGAAAATATGAACCACAACTATATATTATATATATGACACATTTACAATGATTAATTCTGTCATTCACCTATCTTTTATTCCAATTTAACCCCCAAAAAAAGAAAAAAGAAAAACAGAAAGAATCATTGCCTGACATTTTGTTTTCCACTCAATTTTTAAAAAAAAAAATAGAAAACGAAGTGCACATTACTCTCTAGACAATAGAGAGACATTATCAGAGAGGTGAAAATATTAGATATTTGATATATATATATATGGAAAAAATGTCAACTCCAAAAATGTACATTAAATTAAAACAAAAGATTTTCCCTACCTTAGAGACAGATGTGGCATTCTGTCCACCACCTCTTTCTCTCTCTAGATCATCACCATTGATGGGGTCGGTTAGTTGTTGGAGGAAACATTATACTGCAACTTGGTGTACCATCAATTTCCCCTAAATATTATTACTTTCTACGTTTCAAAATAAGTGTCGTGTTTTTCCGTATATTAAGAACAACAGAAAATATAAGATATTTTATTTGTTTCATATTGCTTGACTCATATTAATATGATATAACTTTTATTAGAGATGAATTTTATTAAACTAACCTTATTAATAATGTTTTAAAGCTCTAAGTTTTTCTGTTGTTATTTTATATAGCTATTAATTAATATTAAGAGATAGGGTGGGTGCGGGCTAAGGAGAAACATGACTATTTTCAAGAACCAATTCAGATTTATGTTAGGTGCCCAACTAGTCATTCATCTTGTAAGGAGACTAATAGAGAAATATAGAACAAGGAAGAACTTACGAATGATGTTTATCAACCTAGAAAAGGCTTAAGACAAAATCTCAATGACGATTTTGAAGTGTCAGTGAGGCTAAAGATGTACTTGTGGCATATACTAGGACGGTCAAGGACATGCATGATGGAGTCGAGACGCTGATGAGGGCTGTGGTAGGAGATTCGAAGCATTACTTCCCATTTTTTGATGGGGTTGCACTAGGGATCAAACTTTAAATCATTTTTATTTGTCATGGTGATGAATACATTAACATGACAAACTCAAAGTGCGGTGTCATGTTTTATGTTGTTTGTGGATGACATAATTTTGATTGCCAAGATATATGGTGGAGTTAAAACTAATTTTGGGGGTTGGATACGTACAATTCTTGGAGTCTAAAGGATTTAAGTTGATCAGGACCAAGATAAATTACTTAGAGTGTAAGTTCAGTGACATATTGCATGAGTCTAACGTGGAAGTAAGACTTAATACATAGGTCATCCAAAAAAAAAGTTTCAAACACTTCGTGCCTATTATCCAGGAAACTGGGGATATCAACAAGAATGTCACTCACCATATTAGTACAATCTTAATGAAGTAGAGGCTCACATCTAGAGTCTTATATGATAAGAAGGTGCCAAAAAATTTAAAGGCAAGTTCTATCGAGTGTATTAAATCAACTATGTTATATGGAGCGGAGTGTTGATCAGTCAAGAACACTCTCACGTTCGGAAGATAAAGTTGCAAAAATGAGGAAGTTATGATGGATGTGTGGGTATAATAGGAGAGATATGATTAAAAATGAGGGTATCACGGAAAAGGTGGGAGTGGCTTCGGTGAAGGAAAAGATGTGAGAAGCAAGGCTGAAATGGTTCGGACATGAGAAGAGGAAATGCATAGATGTCCTAGTGTGGACTGTGAGAGGTTGACTATGGATAGTTTCTGGAGAGATAGAGATAGATCCAAGACCGGATAAATTAGGTGATTAGACAGGACATAATGCAGTTTCAGCTTACCAAAGATATAACCTTAGATATGAGGATACACAGGACACGAGTTAGGGTAGATGGTTAGAAGGTAATAATTTTTGCCTGGCTATCCGTTTAGACTAGTAGTAATAGAGTATTATTCTTGTAGTTTCTTGTCACATGTTCATTCCTTGTACCTCGATTTTATCGTATTAGTTTATTGTAATTTATGTTATGTTACTGTTTTTTGTTTCTTTTACTTCTATTAATATTTTTTTCCTGAATTGCTTTGAACTATTTTTCCTTGTGTCAAGAGTATATTGGGAACAACCTCTTTACCTTTGAGATAGTAATAAACTATGCATACACTATACACATATATTATTTTTTTTCTGATCATACTTTATAGGACTACATTTAATATGTCATTATTGTTATAGTAATGTAATTATTTAATATTATTATGTGAATTTTAGCTCATTATCTTTTCTTTTTTTTGTTGTGTGGGTGGGTGGGGGTGGGGTGGGGAGCAAGGTGATATTCTTCTAGGAAGCTGCCGCCCTTCTTCTCTTATTACACATGCATGAATTATTCTTGCATTGCACGGATTTATTTTATTTAAAATAAAAATTCAATTAAGTACTATTTTATATTTTCATAATTGATCTTGCAAGCTTGCAAAAAAAATAAAAAATCTCTCTTTTAATTTCTTTCTGTCACACACATACACACACCACCCCATATTGTGCATGATTATATATGCTGTCCATTCCTTGAATAATGAATAAAAGCCAACCCCTATTTAATTTCTTTTCACATTGTTAATTGAAATATTCATATATTTGGAAGATCTGTTTAGTGAAAAATAAAGCGGTACAAGTTATTTAACAAACTTTTTTTTTTAGTTATTTAACAAACTTAAAAACTGATTATAACAGACTTAACTGTAAATATATAATTGCAATATATTATCCCCGATTAGTCGTAGTAAAGCCTTTTTTTAATACATGAGCTTTGGTTTGGGGGTTGGGGGGGAGGGGGGGAATAGGGGATATTTGTCAAGTTTCATACGACTAAGTGAACCCATAATTTTCATAAGCAGACGCGTGAGTCTAACCATAATTAATTAAGGATCATAATATATATGTGGATAAATAAAAGTTCAAGGTTTTGGGTCTTCCTTCCTTTCCTTTGTGGATAAATTTAGCCCAATATGACTAGCTCACTTTTGCCCATAAGCTCAATATTATGATGCATATGTAAGACTTTCTTTTAGGTCTTATTTGAGAGAGATATCACAAGAGAGTTTGAGTGCAGCCATATAGAGAGAAAAGTGAGAAAGTGCAGATTTTCGCAGAAGCCCTAGCAGCCAATTTCAAATCGCGATTCCCGCTTCGTTTCTTGTCCGATATTTGAGCTGATTTTTGGACAACTTGTTCTTTTCAACTTAATCTTTGATTGGGAACTGAGAGAGGGTGATTTGGAGTCATGTAGCTCCAGATTTTAGCTTGTTTACAGTAGCTGCGGGTTTGGTGCTTTTGCTTCTTTTATTTCTCTAGTTTTTGGTGCTATCTTGTAGTTGTGTTGCTCATTGTTTGGCACTTTGTTGGTGGCCATTTTGGAGAACACTTTTGTAACTCTTGTTGATTTTAGTGGAGCTTTGGTCTTGTGATTTTTACTCTTCACACTGAAGAGGTTTTCCACGTTAAATTTAGTGTCTCGTGTGTTGATTTA